AAAGTATCGCCGACTACATCGCAGAGCTTCGTCGGCTGTCGGAGCACTGCGCTTTCGGGCCAACGTTGGACGACATGCTCCGAGACAGGTTAGTCAGCGGCCTCCGGGAAGAGTCCCTTCAGCGACGGCTTCTCTCCGAGCCGGAACTAACCTTCGCGGTGGCCAAAGAGAAGGCGATAGCAGCAGAGTACGCCCACCACCTGACAGAAAAGATCAGGGGGGCGTCCGCAGAGAGCCGCGATGTGTATCGTGTTGGTAAGCAAATGGCTCCGAGAGCTAAGCCTAATGCCGAGGCAGCAAGAGAGAGGACTGCGTCGAAGTCACAGCAAGACGCTGGCAAGTTTTTCGCTGTGGAGGGTCACACGCACCGGACGAGTGTCGTTTTCGACACGCACAGTGCCACTTTTGCAAGCAGCGGGGCCATATCGGGAAAGTTTGTCGACGAAAAGCGAAACAGTTCTCACCGACGCCTAGGCCTACAGGTGGCAGCCGCCAGAACGGCCGGCGGCGCGACAGTGAAACAGCGGATGTTTTCGGCATCTTCCAAATGACTGCCGAGGAACCTGCTATCCGCGTGGTCGTAGAAGTGAACGGGAACCCTCTCGAGATGGAAGTCGACTCAGGAGCGGTGTGCTCCGTGATCAACGAGAGAACTATGCGTCTGCTGCGGTTGTCCAAGCACAAGCTGCGACAGTGTGAACTACGTCTTCGCACGTACAACCAGCAGGAATTGAAGGTGCTAGGCTCCGTGATGGTCCAAGTCACCTATAAAGGGCGTCAAAAACGACTGCGTCTCGTCGTGATCAAGGGAGCAGGCGTAGGCTTGCTTGGCCGAGACTGGTTCAAGGCTCTTGGGATTGAGCTGAGAGTCAATCAGCTGGAAGAAGCAACGAGCAATCAGAGCCCGTCCAGCGCGGCAGTGCTGAGTCGTCACGCCGACGTTTTCCAACCAGGTCTAGGCAAGAGCAAGGGACCACCAGTTCGAGTCGAAGTGGAACCGACTGCCCAGCCCAAGTTTTTCAAACCGCGTCCAGTTCCCTTTGCCTTACTACCAAAAGTGGATGAAGCCTTGGACAAGCTCATCAGGCAAGCCATTTTGGAACCGGTCCGACATTCCAGTTGGGCGACTCCAATAGTACCTGTGGTAAAAAAGGATGGCACAGTACGAATCTGTGGCGACTACAAGAGTACGGTAAACCCTGTGGTCCGTTGGGAAAGCTACCCCCTACCCACACCTGAGGAACTTTTCGCGAAGCTGGCAGGTGTGCAAGGTTTTCCAAGCTTGATTTAGACCAAGCGTACCTGCAGCTGACAGTTGACAGTGAGACAGCTGACCTTCTCACCATCACCACACACCGTGGACTTTTCCGTGTCGCCGGACAAGCCCGAAAAACAAGCTGACGCTGCCAAGTATAGCACGTGGGCCGACCGTGCCATCGCTGAAGACCTAACCACCACCGGGACCATGGCACTACCTGCTCTTCCAGCTTCAGCTGCAAAAGCCAGCGCACGGCCAGGGAATCTCAGTGGGCAAGGATAAATCCCGTCGACAATGTGTTACAACCTTCCGCTTTTCGTTTGGTTTGGTTCAGATTGTTTCAAGGATAGGTACTATAGTCGGTTACAAGTCAAGAAGGTAGGAGAAGCTCCTCCCACAAGTGTGATGCGCCCGTTTCAAATCTCTCCGCAGTCGAAAGAAGAGTTCACTGGAAACGCTCCTTGTTCCGCTTCAATGGATTCCCACTTGTCTCCGATCCCACTTTTTAAGAAAGCGACCTTTGTATTCATCGGAGGGGGAACCGAGCCCCTGAAAGCAGCTTTTGTATCCATCGGGGGGGAAGCTAATCCCCGAAAGTCGATTTGTTTCCGTCGGTGGGGGAGAACTCTAATCTCCCTCTCGTGGCTTCCACAATGCTAAGTCAAAGTCGAAAGATAAAGCAAATATGTACAGAAAGGCAAGACCCTCCTCGCGCGTTGTCCGCGACGTCACGGAAACGGTGGGACGCTATTGGATGCAAAGGTGGCGGAGGGATACCTGATTCCCTTTGAGGGGCATTTGCCGCTACCTTCTTAACCTGTAACTGACTATTAGCCCCGAGAGCGAACACAAGCGTCGCTGCGGTCGCCGCGCCCTGATTGGGTGAGGCGTACCGTGACGTCAGGGGGAGTACTCCGCTCCGCGATCTCGCATCGGCTCGCTTCCCAGCACCGGTTTCCTGGGTTGGCGTTGTGTGCCGCAAGCTCTTCGAGGAGCTGGACTTCGTTTACCCGGTCTACAAGACGTTGAGTTAGGCCGATATTAAAGTGCTTCCGTACATTTTATAGGCCTGCTCGTCCCTTTTACTTTTAAAATTGGTTTACAAATCCCGAAAGCTATCAGCGGAGGCAATTCCGCCGATGAACATCCCCGTCCCTCCACACGACACAAGGCAATCTTGCGAGGGGTAGGTGGAGCGGTGGCGCAAGTGTTTCAGACGCTGGAATTCTGTCCCTTGCATGTTCATGATTTAGGACGATATTACATCCCGCTTTAAGGCATTGGAAGTGGCATTTATATCATGGGCCTTTGGGTGGTCGGCAAATTAGCTCGCGACCCCGACTTTGCGCTGCCACTCTGCATGCGCTGGTTCGCAGATGTTTTAAAGGCCCTCTCTGATTATCTTTGAAATGCTCATGGAACAGGGTTGTTTTACATAAATGTAGCTCCTTCGTAAATTAATTACTGTAAACGAATTAATTTTCGCGGGTTCAAATTTTCGCGAATTGGGCCAAAGCTGTAAATTTGAAATTATTCGCGGGTTCTAATTTTCGCGAATCGAGTGTAGCTTCCGTGGCGTTCACATATTGCCCGAATTGTTCGCGGGACGTATTTTTCGCGAATTGGAGGTGATTCGCGAAAATTAGGCCCCCGCGAAAATGTAGTCGTTTAAAGTATATAGTTTATATACGTACGCAGGCATATTAATTATGCACAATTACTGGAAATTAGTTTGTACGGTTGCAGCCAAAAACGGCCGAATTGCCCGCAGTTGCCTGTATGATATGTATTGAACTACCCAAAATATGCACAGCAATAGTGCCGTAATTTGGAATGTTTATACTTCTTCTGAACATTTTTATTCCAGCCTTGAGTATTCGGAAAATACACCGTTTAGTCTGAATTGTCATTTACAATTAAAAGAGACACTGCTGCAGGCCTCAAAAGCTTCCTCAGCCTCCAAACTCCCTACAGCTGGACTGTCTTACAACAGAGGAAGACAGGAGTAAAAGCAAGCATTCGAACGTCTGTCCAGTGGTAGTTGCAGCACTAGTAGCACAAAATGTGGAACCTGTGAAGGGCGGCAGTCTGCGTGAGAAAAGCTTCTGGTATTTTAGCTTCAGGAACAATTCGATTTAAGTAAAATCTCAATTTTAGGGCTTAACGGACTAATAACGAGCTAGACACCTTCACTTACGTTTGTTATACATTACTTGAGGGTTGATATAAACGAGTCCACAGATATCACCTGTGTAGTCCATTGAAATACTATCCGAATCCAGCAAAGCTCAAATGCGAGCAATTTATATAATGTTCCTTGCTTTTTTACTTTGCCCCTGCACTTGGGCTGTCTTACTTGTGATTCTCTCCCCATGGCCCAGGCTGTATTTAGCATGTTGCCCGAGTAGCATGCCGCTTTTATGCTTCGGCGATCTTGTTTAAAAACGGAGATACAAAACAAAAAATAGTATACATAACCTGCCAATTCATTCAGACCATCAGCGGCATTTACTGTGCGAGATGTAAATCTATAGTGATGCTCCTGCAATTGTGGTGATATTTCTTTATTTTCACATACCAGCTGCGATTCATGCGTTGCCTGCCCTGTCGACCATGCTTAAAATGTTGGTTGAAGTTTCGTATGTAGCTACAGGCCATACCTCAATAAAGGCACATAAAAACATTTACACTTCCTACGAAAACCACGCAAAAAAAAATTAAATAGAAACGAGCGCGCCGACAGCTGGCGTCGTCACATCCTCCACAGGGCGAGCGGGGCGAGCCGCGGAAAAATTCTCTCCTCGCCGTGACGTCACCCCGGTTCGCCGTAAGGGGGCGCCACGCGAACTTCTCGTGGCTAATAGTGTTACCGAAACGACTGCCGATATATTATTGTTGCCCCGAGCCCCAGCGCCCTTGTAAATTATGTGAAAGAGTGCAGGAATCTGTTGCTTCGACTATTTGCTGGTGATAGCGGAAATATTTTCCCACTATCTTTAGCGGAAACATTTTCCCAGTTTGAGTGGCCTCACGTGTGACATCACTGGGGTAAAATTTTCCGCTAAATTTAGCGCTAAATTTTCCCCTCTAAGTTGAGCGGGAAAATTTTCCACCAAATTTAGCGGAAAAATTTGCCCTTGAGACGCCATTATGAGAAACATCCCACAATGCAACGCGCGGTTACGCCGACGGCGACGCCGCTCGAGCCAGAAACGTGCGCTTAAGAGCTGCGCTCTAAAGCGTGTGTCAATTAAAATACTATTATAGCGCAGAGAAACACTTTTACAGCCAAAATTTCGCACGGTAGTTCTCTCCAGTAAATTTGAGATCTAAGCACGGTGCAAGCACGGGCGGGGTTTAGCGGACCGCGACCTCCACCTTCGCCACCTAAATTGCATCAAGTGGCATAAATATTGCTCCCAAAATACGTTTTCTTGTAATAAATGATATTTTGTGAAATGTGTGTTTCATCTACGATTTTTACAAAAAAGTTTTTTCAGTGTTTCTTTATATTCCTACATATCGTACCAGATTGCGAAAGTATACCTCATGGTAATGGTGTGTTATATATTGAACTGTTGTGCATAATTATAAAAGATTTTTAATCACATATTTTGCGAAAACACATTCTTAGCTAGATATGAAATAATGAAGCCGTACAGCATTAAGATTTGTATTAGCAAATCCATTTTATATTGTCTATACTCTAAAGAGAGAAAACGTTTTATAAATGAACAAAAAAGACATCATAAATCATCACAATCCGCAGCACATTGAGGAAACCTCGCTAATCGCCACGGCTATCGGCGACTGACGAAGCGCAGCATCTTTATAGAAGGATGACGAGATGATGTGGAAAGGCACCCGAGATCAGGCAGCTGTGCTCCATAATCAGGAAGCACACTGAACTTCTGCAGAATGGTCGCCAGGTACAGGAACATTTCGACGTTCGCCAGCATCTCTGCAGGACAAATTCTTTTTCCTGGAAGCAGTAATGTACGGCACTTTTTGTATATTGAAAGAAGTGGACTCTAAGCGTTGAACAGTTATCTACTGTTCATTATTTGTTGTCGTATAGATGACTATCCGTTTTATAATTCCTGTAAGGGTACATGTGCGCAACTGAACTTCACGCTGGCGCGTACAACTCGAGTGATTTGGGTGAACATTGGTGACAAGCCAGCACGCACTTTCAGTTTCTTGGTTTTTAGCGCCATATTGGAAACTGCGGCATTCTCTTGATTATTGATTCTGCCCTCACAGTGTTAACGTGAGTGCTAGTATGTTACCTTTACCTCCTCTACCGCTTTTTCCTCCTTCTTTTATCTCCTCATGCCCTTCCCCAAATCAAAGTAGTCAACCAAAGCAGGCCGCCTTGGTTAACCTCTCTGTTTTCTCCTCCTGCCCTTATCTTCTACTCTATCTAAGCGTGCGACGTTAATTTAGGTTGGGTCAATATCATTTAAGCACATTATCTTGATCGATCGATTAATCAATCAATCAATAGTTTGTGTGTTGTTTGATTGATTGATTGATTGATTGATTGGTTGATTGATTGATTGATTGATTGATTGATTGATTGATTGATTGATTGATTGATTGATTGATTGATTGATTGTACTTTCTCACCAAGCGAGAACGCGATGTGGTGTTCCGGTTTCTTCGAGAGTTCACTGCCGTCGGCTGTTAAGAATCGCTCTGGATGAAATCGGTCCGGATTTTCCCAAAGCTCTGGATTTCTGTGTACTGCCATAACATTCGCCATAACCATCGTTCCTTCGGGAATCAGGTACTCCCCGATGAAGGTGTCTTTTTTTACTCTACAGAAATAAGAGGTCAGACAATCTTTAACGTAAAATGGGCATATTTGTGAGAACGTGTAGTCCATACAGCAGCAACAGCATTTTTTTTACTGCCAGCACACTTTTATTTTTAATATCAACAAAAAGGTTTTATAATAGAAATTAAAATAAAGGAAAACTGATGGGGTTCTTTCTGTATTTGAGAAAAACACTTGAATCGTCTTTATTTAGCCTCCAGGCTTACGAATCTCAAAACTATATTCCAGATTGTTGCGCCAAGTATACCAGAAGAGTGATTTCAAAATTGCGCTGAAACCTCTCTTTCCCCTCGCATTCGGTGCGAGGAGGGCATCATGACGCATTAAACCAAGATGTCAACATTTGCGCGCTTTCCGCAGGCTTCACCCGAGCAGCCAAAAGCGCTGCACGCGTTCCTTCACAAGCGGCAAACACAAGACAGCTGAAACCTCTGGGTATGACGTCATGCCCAGCGGTTGTCCTTTTCGGACTTTTTTCGCATCCATTGATTAGTTCGACTCAAAAGCTTTTAATATTCAAATTCACAAAACAAAGATACGCTCGAATTCACCTCTAACTTGTTTTTCTTTTCAATAACCTCTTCTGTTTTCCTTTAAGTGAACTTTATAAAAATTGAAGAGTGGAAGAGTTTGGATGGCGAACTTTAGTTACAAAGCAGAAAAGTTCGAAAATGTTTCGTTTGATATGTATTGATAGACGTGCTAGTCCGCGTGAGATGCTGATATGGTACGTGTTAGGGGGATAAGTTTGTGAACGTTCATGTTTAAGCTGAATGGCCCTTAAATTAGGATTGCATTGTTTGCGTTTGGTTGTTGCAAGGTCCTTGTTTGGTACACTTTTTTTTTTAATTAACACTTTTTGACACAGCCCGAAGTGCTACCAGTTTTGTAATTATATGCATTACCTAAAATATTAAAATAGGTATTTTTTCAGGCTAACACATAAAAAGTAATCCCTTGTGATTTTTTTATGTTTTCTTTTTTTGACACATATATAAATTAGCAGTAGAAGGTCGTTATTAACCCAACTGTATTTACCATTATTCTGCCACAACGTTACACAATTTAATGCCCTTGTTCATTTCGCTTGACTAAAGCGTCAGAAAGCATCATGATGTACATTTAGAGCTTGATATCTTCCATATCCAATAGTTAAAAACGCCATCAATATTACACATGTACATTTACGCAAAAATATTCCAAAAGCCGGGAATCATAATGATAAAAAAACTGCGCCGACTTTACTTAACAAAATGAACAATTTAATCAAACGTTTCGTCTCCCATGCGAGAAACATCATCAGGGAAACCTTCAAGCAGGAATGAGGGGAAAATCTTCAACAGTCCTATTTAAGCAAGTCCGCGTACACACCGGGGAGGGGGCCGCGGTTGGAGTTGCAAGCCGATGAGTCACTTCGGATGAACCATGATTCCACGAACCTCCGTGGACCCCACCTTTGTTCACGCGCCAGAGTGGACGCATTCTCAAAGTCGAAACTGTGACCCGTATTCCAAAAATAATATACGAGTTCCGTCTTCGCTCTTGTCGCATGCGTGGCCTTCGCCACGTCCCTTTTGTGTTCGTTTGGGCGAGTGCAGCGCCTCCGGCCTGTCTCGCCAATGTAGGTTGCGTGGGCCTAGCTCGGGATCACGTCCTAGACGAAGACGACATAATGGTTTCATTTGATGTTGTGTCCTTGGTCACGAATGTCTCCACCTCTCGGGCTGTTGAGATAGCCGAAACACGCCTACGTAAGAACGACAGCCTCACCTCACGCACATAGTTAGCGGTGGATGATATTGTAATTTTGCTGCATTCTTGTCTTAAACAGTCGAATTTTACGTTTCGCGGACAAATTTATCACGAAATTGAAAAATGTCTAATAGGTAGCCCAATTTCTGTTGCAATGGCAAATCTTGTTATGGAGTATGTGGAAGAAACTGTCCTTGAACAGAGTGTGCACCCGATAGGGTTTTACAAACGGTATGTGGACGAGACCCTTGTAATTTTAAACAAGGACCATGTTGCTGACTTTCATTTAGCTTTAAACAGCTTTGAATCATCAATCTAATTCACACATGAAGTTGAATAGAACGGTGCGCTGCCTTTTCTGGACGTGAATTTGTTCCGAAATAGTACCGGTCGCTTAGATACAACAGCGTACCGCAAAGCTTGCGATACAGGCAACCTCTTAAGCTTTAACTCACATCATTCTATCGAACATAAAAGGGCTGTCGTAAAAACCCTTCTACATCGGTCCGAACGCGTTTCTTCTAATCCTCAATTGCGCGCTTCTGAAGACGCTGTTATTGTTGACCTGTTAATGAAGCGGAATTATCGGAAACTTTTTATTCATAGCACGCGCAAACAGATGGGACAAAGAAGTCAGGATAATGGACGACTTAGGACAGGGCAAGTAACAATAAGCTATTGGAAAGGTGTTTCTGAGTCCATTCGCAGGGCCCTCGCCCCTTTGGATATCCGCACGGCTTTCAAACCCCATCGTAAACACGTGACCTCATTTCTAGACCTAAAGATTACCCCCCTCCCAGAGTCGCAGTGCGGTGTTGTGTATAGACCTTTTCCGCATAACCTCAAACCAGCCAGTAACTGACGTACCCTCGACCTGGTGCATTTTTGGATTGCCCGCTGACACAGGGTATGCAACCGCCAAGGGTATGGGCGAAAAGGCTTAAAAACGGACGTCGTGCATGAGTTAGTTCCGAGTGCTCCTTTTTACCGCGCTGCAATTTCTGAAAATCTACGGTTGTCTGGCTACCACTGCGTGGTCGATGGATAAATAATTTTAAATAGCATAAGAACAATAGCAGCAAGTGTGCCATGAGCACAAGAAGCTGCAGCGCGAGTGTGGCTGCAATGTTATCGAGCTTCGCATTTTCCCCAAGAATCCTTATTCATGAAGTCAGTCGATTGCGAGCTTGAATCGCGAGAGATTCGTATCAGAATCAACGTCACGCTTAAGCTCACGACCACTTCGTCTACGACAAGAGGACCAATTTTAATCCCCGGTGCAGGTGGTCCACTTAGGTTATCACTGCAAGCCCCGTGGTATCTGAAAGGTATGAAAAAGTTTACATGCCACCACTCAAGATGGAGCTATCAAATGTCGAGAGCTTACCTGCATAGACTACATTAAACTGCTCCTATATACTTCGCTGTGGAAACTCAATCAAAATACCCCACCGTTTTCGTCCTCGTTCTCTCAAGGAGGCAAGGTGTTGGCCTGGGAGTAGCCAGCTGGATTCAACCGGACAAGCTCCAACCAAGTTATTGCAGCCCACCATAGCCAAGTCTAGCCAAGTTCCCCCATACCCACACCGTTGCCTACCCAGATAGCTGTGCTGCCAGAACTAGCCGGTATTTCTTTTTCTAAGCCGCTAGACGGCGTCGTCGGCTCCGCAAATCCCAAGATGGCGGCGACATTAAAGAAAAGGTCTATAAAGTGAACTGTCCAGACTGTGACGCATCCTACATTGGGGAGACAGGCCGGAGGCGCTGCTCTCGCCTAAACGAACACAAAAGGAACGCGGCGAAGGCCACGCATACGACAAGAGCGAAGACGGAACTGCTAGACCATTGTTGGAATTCGGGTCACAGTTTCGACTTTGAGAATGCGTCCACTCTGACGCGTGAACAAAGGTGGGGTCCAAGCAGGTTCGTGGAATCATGGTTCGTTCGAAGTGACTCATCGGCTTGCATCTCCAACCGCGGGGTTGCCAGGTTGGGCTATTAATAGCCCAATTGGGCTACTTTGTCATGCATTTGGCGTCGAAATTGGGCGGTTGGCTATGTGGCGATATTTGGGCTATTTCAGGACCTAACGCGGCACTTTTTTACTTTTTTTGTGTGTGACAATCCACCCTTTCTGGATTCCCGCTTTCAGAAATTTTCTGCGTGAAGATTCGTGGGTGCGATGCCAGAACCTTTTAGCTCAAGTCAGCTACCGTGACCTAGATTCAAGTCCGACGACATTCCTTTTGTATTAATTCTGGCTTTTAGAGCGCAGCTCTTAGGCGTCCGTTCCCGGCTTGAACGGCGTCGCCTGTCACCGTCGGCGTCGCCGTCACCGTCGGCGTCGCCGTCAGCGTGACCACGCGTTGCATGCAACTCAGGTTGCATGCAACCCGCGTTGCAAGCCACTCGCCGCCATCTACGTAAAAATACGTTGCATGCAACCCAAATTGCATTCAGCCCCAGTTGCATGCAACCCGCGTTGCAAGCAACCCCCGGAGTTGCCTTGCATGCAACCCGGCGACTCCGGCGGTTGCATGCAACCCGGCGACGCCCCCAAGGTCACGTGGCCTCGGGGGATCACGTGACCTCAAACTTAAACCCTTTATTTCTCTCCATTTAAAGAGGGGAGACAGAGAAAAAAGCAGCTCAGTTGTTGCTTGACCAGCCTCTGCCTCCCCACAGCAGCGAAAGAGGACAGCATGTACATACAAATGTTTTTTTCACCATCACACTTGTAGCACAAAAATAAACATTAGATGGGGGAAGGGGGAAGGGGGAAAAGTAATCGATTTAGCCAAGTTTACAAATTCCAGGGGCACTCTCTCACAAACATGGAACGTACATTGACCAAGTGACCCCCCACGTCACGCGACACCCCCAGATCACGTGACTCCCCAGGTCACGTGACCCCCCAGGTCACGTGACCCTCAGGTCACGCGACACCCCCAGATCACGCGGCCCCCAGGGCCGGGGGTCACGTGACCCCCTCCTTCCTCCCGAGATCACGTGACCCCCGTGAGGGGAGGAGGAGGCAGGAGGGGAGCAGGGAGGATGAGCAGGGGGGACGAATCCGAATTTTCATTACTCCGAAAAATGATTTTAAAAGACTCTTCTCTCTTGTCCCTCGGCCGGCTTCGAACCGTAGTCTTTTCGTTCAGTAGCCCCACGCGGTACCTCTCCGCCAAACTTAAATAATTGAAAAACCCTGCAGCACGAAAATAAAAG